TCATGCTTCTTTAAATGATCGTGGTCTACCCTGTTTTAAAAAAATCTACAGCTCCTGTGCCTCACTGTTGAAGAAATGATTATCATGTGAAAACATACTATACTTGATCATTAATTGATTTTCAAAACCAACATCTGGCAGTGTAGCAGTGTGCTCTGCAAGATTTTTTATATATATACACACAAACTCTTAAGAATCAGATAGTACCTTTGCACCATAATAATGCTACCTACATTTTCCAGAAACACTCCCATGGAGGCACAGGATACATGATTATTTAACATGTATTTTTTTACCTCGTCTTAAGATGCCTTTGTGCAAACATGAGATTCTAACACTGAAACTTCAAACAGATCTTGCTCTGTAAACACTTGAAGTACTAGCCTATATTTAGTCCTTATTAAAATTGAGCAGTATGCTGTTGTATGAGTAATTCTTTGACATTACTAAGGAAGGCTTTACGGTAATAAATAAGGACAGAAATGTAAAACTAACCCCAGCTCACAGTTTTACTAGTTAATAACTGTTCAGCCAGCACTCAGCCTCAGACAAGTATTCAGAAAAAATGAGGATCTGAGCTGTGTTGTTCTGAGTATGCTGTGCTACATGAGAATCCAGCATTGACCCAGATATTCTTACCTTAAAATATGTAACCTGTGCCACCCTTAGGTACGAAGTGGACTAAAGCAGCTGTAGAAGATCATTTGAAGCACACTGTAAAAGTATTTAGAGGGAGCGTGGGATAAAATAGTTTGAAAAAGTGTTGGCTTAGATTGCAGGCTAAACATCTTGTGTTCTTTGTAAGGGCAAACGGGAGGGCTGAGATAACTGGCCAAGAATTGTGGATGTAAAGAGTTATGTATCCAGTTTTGATATGAATTAGCTAGTACTTCTTCTTGAAAGTATTGTAACTTGTTACATAGGACAATACTGGTTTCAAGAACATGTGTCCACAAAGTACATTTAACTATGGAACTGGCATTTGTCACTATAGTACTAAATTGGAGTACAAGGTGGGTTGGAGGAATGTAGCAGAGGGGTTTTTTATTGCTTTGTGGTGAAAAACTGTAAGAAATTGTTTCTTGCCATCTTCAGTACTCTTATTTCTAATGATTAACTGTTGTAACATGGAAAAGCTGGTGGTTTAAAAAAAAACTGTGCATGTTTATTGGCCATTCATGCTGCTCACCTCCCCCCATGAGGGGCCTGAGATAATTGTGCTAGGATAAGATGGGGATTGTAATGGACAAGTTGAATAGAGGGGTGAAATGTTTTAATTTTTATATAGAATAATATAGTAACAGAGTAACCTGGATGTAGTTTTTAATTTGTTGTTGTTCCACTGCCTCTGAAAGTCTTGTAATCTTACATCTTTCTAAGAGTGAGTCTTTGATTTAGGCCATGTAACACAATTCAGATTTAGGCAGAAAATAGTTTTATTGACAAGCTGTTAATTACTGCTTCTTGTATTTGGTAAGATTAAATACAAGTGTGCACAAGTAACTTGGACAGCTGTAGTTTTAAGTCCTTAAGAGGTTTTTTTCTTGAGACTATGTCTAGTAATTAGGATTTTCTATAGTTGAAAGGAGGAAGGGAAAATGAAATCAGGTGATAAAGTGCTTTTGTATAAAGCTACATTTGTAATATCGTGCTGAAGCCTACTTCTGTTAGTTATGCAAACTTTGCATTATCCATTATAAGGGTAGTAATAATGTCAGGAGAGGACAGGCTTTTGAAATAACCCTACAATTAATATAATTTTAGTATTTTTTTCCTGATGATTTTTGCTGTTTCAAAAGGTGAAATATCTGTGTTTTCTTTGAATGGCAATAAGTACTAAAAGTGTCTTGAAAGCTGGAAAGTTTAGGTATAAACTGAGAACCTCATTAAAGTCCCTTAAGGTGTGTTATATATGCCTGTTTTAAGGAATTTGCTCAATGAAGGAACATTTCCACTCTCTATTTGAAATACTTTGGGTGTGTGGAAACAGTTTTAAGTTTCATTTAGGTGCTGGTATTGTTTTGAGAACATCAAGTCAATGAGAGTCATCTGAGATCTTGGGAAAGTTACTTCTTGTTGTACTGGTAATGGTCATTCAAAGCAAAGGGCTGACTGGAATTTAAAGTGCCTCTCATCCAAATTTATTTTTTTTTCCAAAAGAGTATCTGAAGTACAAATAACACTTCCTCAAAACTTGTATGGTTATGTGTTGTGTCTGTGGTGGTGATTTGAATGCAGTTCTAAATAGTATTTTGAGGCCTGTTGTAGTACAGTGTTGCAAAACTGGTGGTACTGCACACACTTCTGCTGAAACTTTCTCAGAAATGTTGTGTTCAGTTATTAAATGGAGCACAGCAGGAAAAAAATGATATTATGGAAATGCAGTAGCTAATGGAATGTGCTCTTGAGTGGTGTGTTCATTTTTTTGAGAGATGCAGGAGTTGCAATGCATGTTGTGCTTTACCTGGTCATAGAAATCAGACATATCTAAAATTATTTTGAATAGGTTTTTGTTGTAGTATTGTACCTGTTAACAGTGGGCCTGGTTGTGTCTGTATTGGTTTTGTGCCATTTGTAGCAAACCTTTCATGATTTCAGAGAGTAAATAAATGCAGAAGAAACCATTTGTGAGGAAAAGGTAATCTGAATCTGACTCCTGAAGAACTAACTGGGTAGAAGTCAAGAGTGCTTTCCCACTGGAGTTAGGGAGCAAAGTTTGATTTGGTCATTCATTAGTATTTTCAAGGCTGCTTTGTTCTGACTTTGTGTTGTAAAGTAACATCTTGGTCCATGATCATATAATTTGAGGGTGTCCATGAGGCAGTTGGAGTGTGACTGCTGTCAAGCTAGATGTGTGCTGGAAATAGTTATAGCTATTAGTGCAGAGCTGCCATTTATATAGCTGCTCTAGCAAGAAAAGGATCTTGCTCATGCAGTAGGACTGTTGTTGCATAGCAACTACTGTACTGAAAGCTGAAAATTAGATGCTCCCTTGAAGTTCTCTGTGCCCTAATAATGCTTAATTTATCTGGGCCTTGCACTGCCTTTATCACAGTAGTGAGTGTCCTTTATTGATGGACTAAGTAATTTCTGTCATGTACATTTACTTTTTTTTTTTCCCTTAGCTTAGAACTGTGTGGTGATGTGCATTTTTTGAAGGTTGATACCTTAATGTGATTAGTCACATTGAACCAAATTTGAGAGAGTCAGAGTTCAAATACCATGGCCTTTCATAATCCAGTGGCACAAGGGCAGGCCTGCCATCCCTCATGGACAGGCAGTCACCTCTGGTCCTGTGTCTCTCTGTGTTGGCTGCTGGTTGGAAAGTGAACATGGATGAGCCTTTTTCTCAGATGGCCTGCCTGTTGCTCCTAATTAATAGTAGAAAAGGAAGCCACAGCTGGATGCCTTATGTGGGTATTTGAGACTACTGTGGGCAAACTGGGAAATTGGATTGAGAAGGAAACCTGTTCTAGTGAGAAACCAACTCGTGTTTGAGTAGTTGTTGCATGTAATAGGAAATTATCTTATGAAGAAAGTAGACCTGGAAGAAATTTAGGAAGGTATAGAGAATCCTGACTTACGTAAATTGCTTTGAAATATACTAGGTATGAAAATAACATTTTTCCACCCCTTGGAACTTGCTAATACATACTGGAGTGTATGTTCTCCTGTCTATACTTGATCTGCAAATGCCAGCGTCATTTATCATCATTGTTTTTTCAGTGAGCATGTTCATGTACTTGCCTGCACACAGGGTTTGACTTGAGATGTGCTGTGCTCAAATTTATACTTCAGTGTAAAACTTGCTTATGAAATGGCAGTCTTCAGAGGTGTTGAAGAATCTGCTTCAGTACCTGTTAATTAAATACCTATCTCAGCCAGGGCTTTGAATTGTTTATGGTACTGTACACTTCTTAAAAGTGAGTAAATAACAGGATAAAAGCAGTATTTAAAATTGTGTGGCTTTGAAAAAAGTCCTTATTTTCTGTGTTGATAATTTGGCATCATCTAGATGCCATTTTGAGATGGAACACTTACTAGCACAGAGTCTTTGTAAAGCATTATGTTGTGTTAACCTTTCAGTAACACATATAGTAACACAGACACACTGCATCTCCTGCTTGTTTTAATATAGTAGTGATATAATCCAGGCTGCTTCCTCCTGCTTAAATAGTTTGGATATACCAGACCAAAGTAGTCTAGACTGTTTGCAACAAGTAAGAGGAAGCCTTATATTGTTTGCATTATATATATATAATTTTTCTGTCTGTTTTGCAGTTTCTGTCCTAAAGAACAGTTTCTAAATTCTGGATAGATATTAAGATGTAGTAGATTGTTACCATTTAGGGGTACATTAAATATGGTAGGGTTTTAAATTGAGAAGATATGTTGAGTAAATTTATTAAGGTCACTACTTTTAGAATCTCTTGTTAAGATTCTTCTGCATTCGTTATGAAATTGAGAGTGATATTTATTGGCTTTTATCTAGGTTTAGATGAAAAATAATCTGAATCTACAATGTATTTTAACAGGGATTTTTATTACAGAAAAATTTTCTGCAGTGACCAAATGGTTCTTTGTTGACTTGAATGGATTTATTTCTGGTTGGTTTTTTGGTCAGGATCTGATAGTAACTAGCTGTCATTCCTTTATACTTTCACAATTTACAAATAAGAGGAGGTATTAAACATCTGCTGTTTCAGTTCTGAGAAATTTTACTAAGCTCCAGTGAATTAATAATTGGATGGAAATAGTTGAAAAATGCAAACGAGCTTAGATTGCAGCAGATTTTTTAGCACTGTCAATCACCTGTTCCAATACTTAATCAGTGACTTCCATCACTGAGTAGGTATTTATCCAAGCTATTAAAATGATTTAAAATATTTTTTAGCCCAGTTGTAGGTTGCCATTATTTTGTACTTCATTTTACATTTCTTAAAAAGTACAAATTAAAATATTTCACTTACTGATGAATACCAGATTTTATCTGAATAGAGATGGATGCCACAAATCTCAGTAAGCAGCTCTTATGAGTCATCTGAAATGTTATTTTGTAAGTGTTGCAGAAACCTGCCTGTGGTAATTGGTGTTTTTCTTGTATTAAAGCAGCTTTCTAGAACTATGTGAAATTTGCCTTGTGCTTTTGGAAGTTTAGATTACTTCTGTTTTCTGAATGAACTGTTAGTGGTTAGCTGCCTTTTCAAAGGTGATGTTGGCTTTCCTTTCTTTTTAAACTTCTTTACTTTCTCAAATTAATTGCTGTTAGTCTTCAAATAACAGTCTTCTAAGATAGTAGTGCATTCTGTCATGTTCTTGGTGTCCAAGTTTGTTGTGCAGTGATTTACTTTTGCTTGGCTAACTTTCCCCAAATCCATCTGGTTTGCTGGATGAGACATTCTTAAGGGTTCAGGAGTCTTGCTCTTCTGCTAGAGGGAATATATCTTGTAATTGTGTTGTGTTCTTGGGTGTTTATTAGTCAGGGAACATCTGCATCTGTCTGTGGGGAGTTGACTTCTTAGTGAAGTTGGTGGTGAAGGTGAGGAAGTTGTTTAGAAATTAGGTGGGATGGTTTGGGAAAAGTTTTTAATTTTAATTAGTAATATCTGGTAACATAAATATGTTTACTTGTCTGCAGTAAAGCTACCTTTTCTGATTTGGTTTCAGTGAGAAATTCAAAGGAATTTCTTAAATTTTATCTGAAGCTATTACCTCTGTTTTTGTTATAGTAATTTAGCTAATGACTTCACAAAATGCTTGTACTTGTGGTTTAGGTAATTTTCAACCTACTTAATAAGGTTACTGAACATCTGAAGGAAGTAAACATAAATCAGCTGTTACCTTCCCCTTTTTCCTTATTGATGCTTACAAATGGAAAAACACAGGGGTGTTTTTTAAGAAGACTTGATTTAAATGAACTTAAATTGTTCTATTGAGAGCCCTCTTCAGAGATTTTTTTTCTCTTCAGAATTGTGACTAGAAGGTGAGCTACAGAAATTGGGGTGAAGTTGATGAGATCCATTGCACTTGGGAAACTAACCTGTGTATTTGGCAGACTAATGAATGCATTTATTGAAAGAGACAGTACTACCTTATAGTAATAGATCTTAAATTTATACATAGTCTAAGTGAGGATTTCTAGCTACCTTTTCTCTTAGGGCAGGTGTCCTGAGAACAGGAGGGGCTCTCTTAAGGCAGCCTCATGGAAAATGTCTTCAGAAGGACCAAATTTCTAATATTCTTGTTTTGATACCTATATAAGTTTGTCAAATTAAACACAATCCTGAGGCTTGGGACTATCACTGTTCATCACCTGCTTCAGTAAATTGTGCTGGCTGTGGCCACTTAGCTTGAGTCAAATAAGTCCAGACGGTGCTGGTAGGTGGTAGAGCACAGGTACACTTCACCAGTATGTCCTTTCTGTTCAGTTTCCTCTTATTTTTATCATAAGCACAGAGTTATATGTTCAAACTGCATCATGTAAATAAATGCAGATGGTAATGTGTTTTGAAGGAACTTCTTAAAATGATAAACATTTATATAATACTGTGTACATGTTTATTTCTAGGAGAAGAAGCTGCAGCTGAAGTTTCTTCATCTTTTGTGATTCTGTCGCTATGTACTCTGGTAGTACTGGTAATACTGCTGGTAAATTGTGCTTCCTGCTGTAAAGACCCTGAGATAGATTTCAAGGTAAGCATCAGAAGTTACAAATGTATATACATGTGGTATTCTTAGCTGTGTTCTGATATTCAGAATACTTATTCTTTGTGCTAATACTTTGCAGTTAGTGGCACTTCAGAGTCATTGCACATTCTCTTCTGGAATAGCCAGGAACTATATTTCTACATGCTGTGAAATCTTGCTGCAACCATCTAAGTACTCAGTCCATGCTGCAGTAAGGGTCTTTACTGTCTTTCAAAAACATTATTGCTTATTTAGATCAGTAAAAAAGCACAGCCTTGGGCAATTTTGGTGTAATTAAAGAACCATTTTGTGGGTTTTCTTTTGATTTGTTTTTCTTAGTTTGCTGTCAGGATTTGAGACACTCCTGTCCAATAAGAATTCTGAAGATCCCTTTCCACTGTAGTAAAACTCTTAGGAGAAATTGTTACTTCTGGAACATCTGTTATCAGTGTTCCTAGCTAAGTTTTGCTCTCATTTTTAAATGGAGAATATTTAGCCTTGGCTTTTGATAATTAATTCAAAGCCAGGGATAGTACTTTAACTTAAAAAAAACCAAACAAACAAGAAACTAAGACACCCCCCACCTTTTTGTTAAAAACAATATATTTGATACTTTAGTATCTTTAAATGAGTAATTGCAAATCAGGAATAAAATGCTAAGTCTTTCACTGTTCTTAGAAAAAAGCTAAGCCTCCTTGACATGGTCATTCAAACTAAAAGAAGTATCTTAGTGCTAATTTTAAGGCAAAGATAAGCTTGTTTACTAAGGTGTTTTTTTGTTGTTTTTTTCAGGAATTTGAAGATAACTTTGATGATGAAATAGATTTTACACCTCCAGCAGAAGATACTCCATCTGTTCAGTCTCCAGCAGAAGTGTTCACTCTTTCAGTTCCCAGTATTGCTGTACCAACTCCCTCCCAGTTTCCGTCTCGTACAGGTAAAATACTATTTTTAATGAAAACCTGAAATTCAGCGATTCCAGTCTAAAAAATGGAGTGTAATTGATTGTTTGACTTTACTGCAACAAATTAATTGTTACAAACTTATTTAGTAAATATACTTTGTATGGTATAGGATAAAATGTTAATTTATGGCAGGGTACCTCAAAGGTAGCTTAAGAGAATGAGAGTAGCTTAAGTAAACCTCTCCAGGGTACTTTCATTTTGCTTCTATATACATAAAGGCTTTGAAGTGCTCCAGGGCATTAGTGACTTCTGCTCTTTTATGTTTGTTTTTTTTTGTGGCTAAGTTGTCATTAGGTTTTAGCCATTGGCCTTAAATGGAAGCAAGAGTGAATATAAGCTTGCTTGACAGCAGTGCTGCTGTTTCAGTTGCATTGCTTTCTTAGTGTCACTGTAGAATTTTCGTGCTGTAAATATGATACTGGTAAGACAGAGCATTAGATGTCTTTGAAGTTTTTTTGGAATGTATTCTTTAAAATAGTTCCTTTTGTAAAAGGAAACTTAGACATCTTAAATATTGCAGGCATAGTTTAGCATAATTTAGTTCTTGTAATACTTCATATATAGTTTATAGAGATATTGCTTGTGTTGTTTAATCATTAGATGTTCAGGGAAGCTTCTATTGGAATTTTTAAGTGTAGAAATTTTATGAAGCTGTTACCGTGCCTTTAATACAAAAGAAATATATTACTACTTTGTATTTTAGTGAGTGAGAATTACCTGTGAAAAATCTTGTCAGCTCTTCCAGTAAGTCATATTGGTATAAACATTGTTTATGGAGATAAAAATGTGGGCTAGAATTTTCAGGCAGGTAGTAGTGATGGGAAGTTTTTGTTTATTAGTATTCCTAACCAGTTAGGCAGCAGAGGGAAAAACACTATTGAATCTATTCTATAGTACAGAGTCTGCCAACATCTGGGTCTTGTATTCTATATTTTCCCTCTCTGGGCTCTTTGTGTGCAGTATTTTTAGTTGGAAAATGTCCTCCTTCCAGACGGTTGCTCTAAGTAGGACAGTTAGGCTGAAGAGTAAAGCATTTAAACACTTTCTTTTAAAATGGTAATTCTATATAACTATAAATGTTAAGAGATGTGCTAGCAATTAATATTGTCTTGGGTTTCTACTTTTATCGATGTAGGAAACTTTTTAAAGTAGGTTATTTAAGGTGTAAGCTGGTGAAGGGTCTAGAGCACAAGTCATTTGAGGGGCAGCTGAAGGAACTGGGGTTGTTTAGCCTGGAGCAGGGGAGACTTTGCTTTCTACAACTCCCTGAAAGGAGGTTATAGTGATGTGGGTGTCAGCCTCTTCTCCCAAGTAACAAGCAATAGGACAAGAGAAATGGCCTCAAGTTGTGCCAGAGGAGGTTTAGATTGGATAATAGGAAAAATTTATTCACTAAGAGGATTGTCAGGCACTGGAACAGGCTGCCCAGGGAAGTGGTGAAGTCACCACCCCAGGAGGTATTTAAATGACATGTAGATGTGGTGCTTAGGGGCATGGTTTAGTGGTGGCCTTGGCAGTGTTGGACTTATGGTTGGACTCAATGATCTTAAGTCTTTTCCAACCTGAAAGTTTCTATGAATTTACAGTTTGCTCTATCAAGCTACAGGGCATGATACATTTTTATATTGAAATTAGAATTCAAGCTTTTTGCTTGCTTGCTGAATGTATTAAAAATTAAAAATGTACATTTCATAAGAAGAATCACTTTTTGTAGAGGGAGTATTCTAGTATGGTTTAGAAGCTGGAGCTGAGAGGAGTTTTTTGGAGTGCTGTTGTCACAAGTTACTTTCATGCTTTTATATCTAACTATGTTTGCTGCTTAGTCTGGAAGTATGCATGTAACTGGGAATAAATATTGTGGGAGCTTGCATGATTTAATCAGCAGTTGATAACTTTGGCTATCTGAGTGGTTTGATACGTGTTACATCTGTTTCATTGTGCATGACAGATGGATCAAAGTCTCAAGTTGCACGTCAGAGTCTAAACTACATCCAGGAAATTGGAAATGGCTGGTTTGGAAAGGTGAGAGGTCTTTTTTTTTTTTTATGTTTTACTGCAGTGTGAGTCTTATTCCTAATCAATCAAGTTACTGTATTTCCATCCAGATGGTACCCTCAGGGGAAAAAAAACAATAGCATAAGAAAAACTGAAATTGAAATTAGAAGTTTCCTTGCATGCACTTTTTAGCTGTAATCACAACACTAATCACTGCTTCTTTAGTTTATCTGTAGTTTCTTACCAGTTACTTAGAAGGGGTAGGCGTTTTAGTTCTGTGGATTTGAATATATATCAGTTACTGTCAGTGCATTCTAGGAAAAAATATTAAGTAAATAAGTGGTCTTCACTAGAAAATGCTTTCTGAAAATCAATGAGTATCTCAATTGTTAAGATGTTTAATTATCAAAGCTCTGCATGTGTTTACCAAAAAAGTCAGAAAATATTGCAGTATTTTTTAGTTTTTGTTTTCTTTGCAGGGAAACTCAGGTGTTTTTCCCTCTGATTAAAGACAGTATGGTTATCTTTTTTCAGGTTCTTCTTGGAGAGATCTACACAGGCACTAGTGTAGCAAGGGTAATAGTGAAGGAGTTGAAGGCAAGTGCGGGTCCTAAGGAGCAAGAACAGTTTTTAAGAAATGGAGAACCATATTAGTAAGTGATGTTTCACAGCCTGGTTAACTTACACACTTCTTACTACTGCATATGAATGATGAATATTTCTTTCATTGAGTGTTATTGTCTCTAATTGTCCTTCCTTGTAACTGAAATGGGTGTCTTTAAAAAGTGAAATACAGACAATCCGAAGTGAGCAAAAGTTGAGCTTGCTTAGAAATATAAATTAACACTTTGCTTAACTGTATTTGGTAGTTACTGTTCAATACTGGAAAACAATTTTGTTTATCAGTTTTTCTTCCACAGATTTTGGAACAAATTCCTATTATTGCAAAGCAACCTTATGCCTAATTACTCACCTCAGAATTGAGGCTTAGCTCCTGTACTAGGCTTTCCTGTTAGAAGCAAGGAAACTGGTAATGCTTTATGTTCTCAGATACATACCAGTTTCTCAATGCCACATAGTGATTAAAAACTAGTTTTGTTCAGGTAACTTGCAAGAAGGTTTGTGCACACTAAACCCCCCCCCCCCAGAAACTGATAAATTATTCATTTAACTGGAAATGCCAATAAAACAGGGTTATTTGATGTCTTTTTCTTATATTATGCCTGAAGAATACTGTCTTGTAGGGGTTGAGCCTTTGAATATTTGAAAAGCATTTGGTATATTAAAGGGAGTGTAATTTCTCTTCCTGTGTTTTGGAAATAGTGAAAATTCTGAACTAACTGCCACAAGGTGATGGCTTTTGTAGATGACTGGGAAAGAGAGGGATATTGTAGCTCACTAGACATGCTTCATAATGTGGTTTACCTTGCCTGAATGTACAAGTGAGTGGTCATAGAGACCTTTCTAGTCTTCGTGCTTTCCAAAGCATACTCATTTAGGCTTAAATTGTTGTCAGTAGTCAGAAAAAGAAATTTAGTGCCTCCTGCTGCATTGGCACAAGTTGAACATTGAAGCAATCTAGAAAAAAGTAACTGATCTGGCTGGGAACTAACCTGGCTAAGAAAAGATTCAGATTTTAGCCAGATCAGTTCCTCAGTGTAGTTCACAAACCATTTGCATGCAGTTATTTTTGGTATAAGGGATGGTGGTAGGATGGGTGTGACTGACTTGTGGAAGTGCTGGAGTTGGTGATTTTGAGTTCTTCTGGGTTTCAGCTGCTCTCAATGCTATACTGCAGAAATACAGCAGAGGGAGAGAGGTGCAAATGGTATCTGTGGCTTTGGATGCTTGGCACCTTCTGTTCCTGCCACCCCCCTACCAATGTTATGTGTTGAAACTTCTGCTGGGGATTTCAGTGTGTTGCATTGTACTGCAAATCTTGTCATCTGTGATCTTTCTGGCTTTAACTGTATTTTTTCACTCCAGCATTCTTCAGCATCCAAATGTTCTCCAGTGTGTTGGGCAGTGTGTGGAAGCCATTCCTTATCTCCTAGTTTTTGAGTTCTGTGACTTGGTAAGTCACTTCTACAAAAGGCTGCTGTTTTTTTTTTCTTGTGGTGTAAGTCATCTGTACTTTATTTACTGTCCCTCACACATGGAATAATTATTTTTCTTTCTGGGAAGTTTTCTGAAGAACAAGAATTTCAGAAGACAGACTTTTTTGGTCAAGAGACAGACTACAAGTGTAAATTTCTGTTCATACTATTTTCAATTAATCATACAAATTGCAGATGCTTGTAGAATGATCTGAAGAGGAAAATAGCTGTTCTTCCTTTGATAACAGAATTACTAGTCTCTTTCAGTCTGCCTACATCATGTAGCAAAGAGCATGGAGGGGAAAGGAGGTCATATAAGTTTTTTTATTGCAGTACAGTGTCACATGCATTTGCTCACAATCACATCCTGAATTCTGTTTGCTGTCTGTGCAAGCATTAATGTGCTTTTATTTGCATTTCTTTGAAAATGTTGGTGGAGGAAAATGGAGGAAAGAATTTCCTCCCTTCTGCCTCCTCACTTCCAGAGTGCCCAGATTTTACCCATGCTGTGCAGCTTTTGATGGGCTCACTTACAGAATCAGTTAAGTGTCTCCTAATAGCTAGAATTTTCAGTATCATCCTATTCTCTTGCTGATCTTTCCGTTACTGTATTTCTCTTTTCACTACTTTCTTATCCTTCTTTGTTTCCCTCCCCCTACCCCAAGCAACTGCCTTATTATGCTGTCTAAATACCAGAAGAAATGCTAAAAGCACAGTGAAGGGTGTTCTCTCTGCTTTCTGCTCTGCTGTTAGTGCCACAAAGGCCACTGAAGATGGGAAGGATAGTTGCACAAAAGCCTTGCTCAGCCACCGCATTCCTGGGCATGTGATGGAATTTGCATGAATGTTGTGAGAAGGGGGTGGTGTCCATGTGTAGAAACTTTGAACTGTGCCTGGTATACACAGAGACTTCAGAGACTAAAATTTGAATATGGCAATGGATCCATGGTCTGTAAAGACTTTAATTACTTTATTGTAGCATAACACATGATTAAAAAACCGAACAAACCCAGGACTCCAGGTGGCTATCCAAACATTGGCTTCAGTGGCTGCTTTTGAAGTTTTTGGTCTGGGTGTTATTGAAAGCAAAAGTCCTTGGAAAATGTGAAGGCAGAAATTAACTCAGAAGTACATGTGTGCTATTAAGAAATAAGTATTTCAGAAGTAAGATAGCTTGCATTTATAACATGAAGCAAGTTGGTTTTTTTACCAGCTTCACTGCTACAGAATTTTCCTTGAAACACAGGTACACAGACATGGTTCTAGTTGCATCAGTTGCCTCAAGAAATTGAAATAAGAGTTAAGATGAACTTTTGAGTTTTCTTGAGAAACATCAGTTAATCTGTGACCTTAAATAACTTTATTTTTAATTACTGCTCTTTTGCTCAAATGCCTTATCTATGGTAAGTTAATGAAGCAGAAGTGCTGATAAAATAATTCTTTTCTAAATGGAAGAAGTGCTTGAACTTTTAAAGTGACTGATCAAAGTGAAATGTTCCATCTTTGCTAGGAATTAAAAAGTAGATGCCTAAGGTTAAACAGATAAAGTTTTTTATATATTTTCAACATGCAGAAATTAAGTAATTCTTACTGCTTTCTAAACCTGCTACTCAAATTGAAGGTTCTTTAAAAAGGACCCTTGAAAGTTTTATAGTCTGATAGATAGACATCCAAATCAGATTTAATTGCTGCCGTGTTTTTAAATAGTAACAGTATTTAATCCAACTTTGAATTTCAAAATGGAGTAACTTTTCAAGATTGCCCTACTTTGTGTACAGGAAAAAAAAAATAAAAATCCTTGTTTGATGCCTGATGATTAATGCCAGAAATTGTCATGATCCTGCAGAGTAATCTGGAAAGGATTTTACTTAAGGGGATAAAATAGATTTTCACTTTAACTGGGGGCTGTAAGCTTGACAGCCAAAGTGGTAGTTTTATAAATTTGAATGTAGTTAGGTAATGTCTTTGGAATGGAAAATAAATGTCTGTACTGCTTCCTATTCCAAGTGAATTAATACTTGTTTTTAGGAAATTGTCTTACAGTGAGTTAAACATTACTTTTGTTCTTAAAGTCTGGCTCACTTGAAGAGTTCTTACTTGGTAGAGCTGAGTATCTCATAGACATCATGGTATTTCATTCACTGTGCACACAGAGAGGGGCTAGGCAAACAAAACAGTACTCCCTGGAATAGTTTATGCAGAGCTTGAGACAAGTGCAGTAAATTATCTGGGTATCCCTGTATGTCACTAATTCTTGTTGTAGTCCCAGGGCCTAGTGTGGGAAGTAGCAATATTGGAGTGAGGGGACAGGAGAGACGTGAAGAAGGCAGAAATGTGAAGGAAGTCAGACAGCACTGTTTGGAATAGAAGGTATGGCTAGATAGCTCTTTTTTTAGTGGACTGGTTTTTAGTGGAGTGTCAGTAGGCTGATACTCTAGAAGCTGCTTTTTATCACTGTGGCTGGGATGGCAATTACTTGGATTTTTTTTTTAGGCTCTTAGTAAGAGATCTCCAACGCTGGCAGCTGGTTTTGTGCTTTGTTTTCTGAAATTGCGTAAATGGAGGGGTGTGGTGGTGCTTCCAAAACACACAAGAGTCTGGCTTTTCAACAGAAAGATGATAGGGGCAGACAGAGTTGAAGTGGATGACTAAAGGTTCAGGTATCTGTGGTGACTATATATTGTTCAAATGGGAAGGATAAGAAGTACCTTCCTCTTTTGCTAGCAGTGGTATAGTGCTGTGCTAAAGCTCTTTTCCTTGTGTTACTGGTGTTTTATGTATATGTACACGACAAAGAATAAACTTGTTTTAATCCCTTGTGTTTATGTGATTAAGAATTTGATCATTAAGAAAAAAGTGGCAATCACGTTAACTGTGTTGGATAGGAAATTTAAATATCTTTAGATATTTTTGAGGCTCTTTCAGCAACATAGACCTCATTTTGCAAGTTTGGTATATTAAGTAATGAAAATAATTACTGACCAACATAGTCTAGAGGGTACAGTGGTTGTTTTCTGTGCACTCCATCATATTCATAACCTATCACAACATGTCCCCCTTTTGCAACTTCTCTTATTGGGATTCTTAGCCTTTTTAGGGCCACTTGACCTTGCCTTGGCTGCTCAGGCAGCCCTGTTGGATTATCAGTTCCCAAGCTCCTTGGTGCTGAAAGGTCTTGGTCAGAGGTGCTGGAAACTGTAGTGCAGAGATACCAGAGCTAACTTACAGTAGCAGTGTCATGCTGGCTAGCTTCACTTGTTTTTTTGGCCATATAAACTGCTTATACATTTCTTTTACTCAAGATTGCTTATTGGTGTGTTCAGTAACTGTATTTACTAACATTTAGCCTATTTTATAATGTAATCCAAGTTGCACCATGTCCCTTGCTTCGCAGAGCTGGTCAAGAAATGGCAGAGGTCAGTTGCACATGAGTGATTTAAAGCTTTTACATGCTAATTTTCCTTTGCCTGTGTTTTACCATTTAAAAATGGTAAATAAAAAAAGAAAGGCTGAATGAGTTCTTTACCCCCAGTCCACATTTTAGGTTGCTTAGTAGAGTGGTGCAGTTTTCTATGAATAGTTAACTGTTCACTGTTAAACATTGTAGATTGATGCCAGGTTAAAAATAGTGGTAGCTGGCTTATTAACTTTAATGTATTACACAGCTGAGTGTGGCCAGCGTTTTGTCAGCACAGCAAATCTGCTAATGGATTGACATAATTTATGGGTAAAGGAAAGTTATTCAAATGTAGAAGTAGAATGTATGTTGTGAGGCTGATTTGCCTATCAGATTTTTACAGAAATTCTTCAAGTCTTGCAATTACCTGGACAGATGAGATCAGCAGGATGCAGTATTTGCCTGGAATGCCCTGTAGCTTGCTTTAGGATGTTGCTGTTACTGGAAGGTGCCTGTCTGCAGTGGTTCTTTCTTTTGGGCTTTTTCTAATTACTGCCACTTGAAAAGATAATTTTCAAATAAAACCCAAATATTTGCAATATTCTTAACCAGAGTTCAGTAAATGTGTTTAACAGTCATGGTCAGTATCAATATGAGGCAAATAGTGGATACATTAGTGGTATGTAATTAAAAAAAAAAAAGGGATTGACAGCTCAGACAACTTGAGAAATCAGGTCTGTTGGGTTCAAAGACTTTGTGCTCTTGTAACTGTTTAATATTTATTAATCTTACATATACTAAACAACTTTGATAGATGTTCTGTACCATACAGCACTTTCAGGCATTTTACTGGTAGTGACCACAGGTACTACTTCTGTTAATCAGTATTGGAGGGGGGGTGGCAGTCCAGCACTTGAGTGTATTTATTGGTTCCCCACAGTCTGATATAAGCATTGTCCTTTTAAAGCAATACCAAAAAAAGAGGTTTATGTTTTTAACCTTTATTGTAGCGTTAATTAAAGTAAAAGGTGAAAACAGAACTGGTATGTTTCAAGGTGCTGGATTTAAACAAATTTTATTACCTTAAAAAAAAATGTGTGCCCGTGTGAATTATTTAGGAAATAAGGGATGTCACTCGGCACTGCTGTTACTAATGCATTTAAAAATTAAGTAGTAACTCCTCGGTAAGTTTCAGGCATCCTAGGAACTTAATCCGCCTGGGACAAACCCAAGTCACCAGTTACTGTTGTAACGGATGTCAACAGTTTTGGAGGGTTTGACTTTCCTCAGGCTCTTGCTGCCACCTAGAGTCGGTTGAGCTTGGTGCTTGATGTTCAAGCTCTGGGACTGGGACCTGACTGTCATGGACACGGTTGGTTCTGTAGTTCTTTGGAACTCTGCTCTAGTAAATGTGCTCTGGCCAGGTCGAAAGGAGTGTTTGTGTTTATACATATATACATGAGCTAATACGATATTAAAGCTGTAATTGTAAGTAAGAAGACTCTTTCAGGAAACATTTAAAAAAAGTGATTCTGTAGGATGCAAATAGATAAATGTGACCTAATTAGTAGCTAAAAACAGGGTAAAGAGAATGTAATGAAGGTGCTACAATGTTAAATAGTGTTAGAAGCTATGGGTGCTTTCTCATAAAGTGCTGTAGCTGCTTGCAGCCTCAGTGGTACGTAGAAAGCAGATGAAGGTAGAATAGCTGCTTGTGTGTTCTGTAGAATCTTTGCATGTTTTCAAAAAATTAAAATGAAGTTGGTTTACACAGGAGTAGTTTCTGCTTTTAAGTGTACTGTCTGTCCCATGGTGGCTTAGTTTATTAAATATAACCCAAGTTTGTGATGTATTACCTCAGTTATCACTGCACTGTTATATTTTAATGCACCACACAGGTGTCTGTTGCTTGAACTAATAGTTGTAAAATGTCATCCTCAATTAACCATGTAAAGGAGGAATGAGATACTTCAGTAATAGCTCTGTAATGTAGATGAACACTAGAGAAACAGGAAGTTTAGTGATCTTTAGTCTTTTCTGAACGTCACAGCAATTTTTAACCAGTGCAAAGACTGCCTTCTTGTCTAGTCAGTCATAGAATCATAGAGTGGTTTGGGTTGGAAGGGATCTTAAAGATCATCAAGTTCCAACCCCCCTGCATGGGCAGGGACACCTCCCACTAGACCAGGTTTATTCCAAGCCCCATCCAACCTGCCCTTGAACACTTCTAGGAATGAGGCTTCCATGATGTCCCTGGGCAACGTGTTCCAGAGTCTCACCACCCTCACAGCAAATAATTTCTTCCTGGTATCTACTATAAATCTACTCTCTTTCAGCTTAAAACTATTACCCCTCATCATATCACACCATGCCTTTGTAAAAAAACTCCCTCTCTGATTTCAAGACTTCCCTTCAATCTCCTTCCAGGCCCACGATTTAGCCAGACAATGCACATGGATATTTAGAAACCAGAATGTTATGCTGGTGAAAGAAGTTGAGATGTATTATGTTGTGCAGTCTCAATATAAAAATACCGTCTGAAATTGCTAAACTTGCAGGAAGTCTGTATTTGAAATAATGAAAATATGGGTGTGGTAGCTTGAAAGTCCAACTGTGAAACTAGGAACAATAGTGGCATGAAAAACTCGTTCTCTTCCCTTGCTTGAGTTCATTTACTTTAGTCTTGCTTGCCTGATGTTTGACAACTTTCTTATTTTACCTCTGTTCCAAAGCTGTTCCAAAGTGCTTCTAGGGGTTCATTAATTGGGTCTGTTGCTCAGCTTTGCCTAGGTTCCAGTAAAACTGCTGCCATCCTATCTGTTCTTTGACTGGAGTATTACAATGCTTTTTACACATAAAACTCTGGTGATCTGGCAGTGTTTTGAAACTCTATTCAAATGTGGTTAATCAATAAGTTTAGTTGCTTCTTCATTAAATGTTTTTAAAGTTGTACCAACATACAAGGCTGATAAGTGATTTGAACTTCTTTTACAGGGTGACCTAAAAACTTATATCTGCAATGAGCAGGAACACATTAAAGGAGAGTCACAAATAATGCTGCTGCAGAGGATGGCGTGTGAGATTGCTGCTGGACTTGCTGTAATGCATAAGCATAACTTTGTGCACAGGTATGCTCTCCAAATAAATGGCTTTTGGTTATGATGCACTCTCAGACTTGGAGATTTTCGTTAAAATCTGTGCATATTGAAGATTGTTTTAACAAACTTCCATCCAACTTGCATATCTGAAGTTGTGAAGGTGTGATGCTTATGAAAATGCCAGTTTAACTGCAGTAGCTGTAGTGTTACACTTCTCACCTGGTTGAAAGTAGCTTTTGAGGTTTGCATTACTGCTAAATAATTATTCTGTGGATCTGCAGGATTCTCTTTGTAAATGTTTACTTCTAGCAACACTATCCTGATGCTGTCAGAGTAAGTGGTAAAGCTCCAGCATCAGTGATTTTGTTGTTAGTGGTAAATTCAAGCAGCCAAACTTTATTTTCTCTTCCAGATTATTTGTTTAAATAGTATAAAACAAGTTGGAAAGCTTTGGGGTGTGCCTGAGGGTTACCAATGTGTTTCTTTCCAGTAGGGGAACTGTGTGGCTTTCAGACAGTTTGTACTTCAGAGCCTTTTTTTATGCCACACAGAAGCAATTGTGAAGTTCTTCCAATGCAGTTAATTTCCTGGTGCCCTTTTTGAAACTGAGAAGCAAAATATTTGACCAATTAGTCTGTGGAGCTCTTTGCTGTCACAGCTGCAGTTCTGTAGTGAGCATGGAGCTTCATTAAACTTGCATAAATTTCTGAGTTTGCATGATGAGTTTTCTAAAACAGTTCCTTAGTGGTATTACAGCAGCACTGCTGGCTAAAAGTATTTGTGGTCTAGTTTATGGTGGAAACTGGAAACAACTTCTCTGTGATTTCAAGAGCTTTTTGTTTTGTTTATTAAAGGATGTTGTGAAATACATTGCTCTTTCTGATGGCCTTTTTGATAGGCTATCTGTAGTTCTAGTTACTGTAGCGTATGGTTCTGTTCAGAGGAACTTATCTATAGGTGTAAGATGTTACTAGCTGCTTAGTATCATAATATAAATTGTCAATTATTTAAACCTGATCTGAGTTGTTGATAAATGTTGCTCATGGCTATTATAATGCAAGACATACAATGACAGCTGTTAGGTAAAGAGAGACCTACATCCCTTTAGGATGGGAACAGCCACAGTAATCTACATGGTGGAATTATGAGTAGGATCAAATAATTGCACATACATTCTGTCTGTAGTGTGAATGCTTAAGAGTTTACCTCATTACTCTAGAGAAGTGACTACACTTTGAATTTTTTTTATAAAGGACAGCATTATAGTCTAGGCTTGTGGGTTTTTCTGTGCTTGATTACATGCCTCTAAATGGATTCTCTTTCAAAAATGTGGGAGGGCCTGAGGCAAATTGTCCTTGTGGCCACAAACCAAATCTTGTTCAATAAGTCACCTGTAAGGAGAGACTCTTGTCAGTCTTTTTCTGCAAGTGGCAAGTGTTTATATAGAACTATGGTTCCCAATACTCCAGCAAGATATGGGATCATTTGTTGTCTTACATAGGTTCTAAAACTTAATGAAAATGTAAGCAACAACAGAAATATCTTAACATGTAGTTTGGACCAAAATTTTATTTTGAAATTAATTTCCCCTGTTACTGTGCATTATGAGAATGCATGGTTGAGTTGGTTTTTTGGAGCATACTGGTTAGTCTAAAGGAAATCAAAAGAGTCAGAAAGGTAGCTCCCGGAGCACGCCTGTTTGCACCTAGCTTGCTTCAGCCTTTTAGAAGGATTTATGTCTGTTGGATAAGGCCAGGTTGGATGAGGCTTGTGCAGACTGGTCTAGTGTGACATGTCCCTGCTTGTAGCAGGGAGGTTGGAACCTGATGATCTTTAAGGTCCCTTCCAATCTCAGCCGTTCTGTGACTGGGCTGCAGCTCATGTGAGTGACATGGCTGGAGTGTTTATAGCCTGGATGCTGAATCCTTAGAGCTGGTTGTTTCTCATTACTGCTGCTGCTAAGGCCTGCTACTTGCTACTAGAACATAACATTCTGCTTTTCTTTTTTAAGAATTTTGTTTGCTTTTCATTTAATACTTTAAGCTGTGGCCTGACGGTTCTACCAAGTGTTACATCTGTTAACCTGCTTGTCTTCATTTGCATTGAAAACTTCTTGGTTTGGTCTCATTATTTACTTGTTTGCTTTTTCAGCGACTTGGCTTTACGGAATTGCTTCCTTACATCAGATTTAAATGTCAAAGTAGGAGATTATGGTATAGGATTCAGTAGATTTAAGGTAAGTTAATCTAGTCATGTACCACTTTTTTTTTTTAAAAAGGATTTGGGGCCTAAGGTTGTAACAAGCGTACTTAAAAGTTAAAAACTGATACTAGATTGCCCTTTATTTGTATAATGGGCTCTTGAAGTATAACTAGCAAATAACTAGTAAGTTCATGTAACATAATAGGTGATCTTTCTAAAGATCAACAGGGTTTACGCGTCTGTTTTAGGTTCTGTTTACTGTAGTCCTAAGATATACATAAATTTTAATTTTTCTAAGAAGGAAAAAATAAATCAAAATTTCTTAATGAAAAGATTTGAAATATTTAAATATATGAAGAAAGTGAAAAATTCAAGACATTAAATAAAAATGTTTTTTGAGTACCAAGACTTAAACAAGATGATGTCATTCAGTTTTTAGGCTGTGCAGTGAGCAGCAAATGCCTTTCCTCTATGGTCTCATACTCTGCTGCTTGAGAAAAAAATCGGGTTAGTTTTGTTACTTCTAACTTTTTGCACAGGGATCACACAAAACCATAGTAAGGAAAGGACTGTCAACTTCTGGAAGCTGATTCAGTGTTTGTTTTTTTAATCAATCATTTAGGAAGACTATATTGAGACAGATGAGAAGAAACTTATTCCTCTCCGATGGACTGCACCTGAGTTAGTAATAAGTTTTCAAGACAGACTGTTATCAGCAGAGCAAAATAAATACAGTAACATATGGTATGTAGTAGACTTTAAAATAATTTTAATGAGAGATTTGTGAACATATTTTCAAGTGTTACACAAAGTAGTAAATAATATTTATAGTTAAACTGAATGTTGGCCTGATGCACTGCCTTTTCTCATCAGATGTACAGTAGGTTAATCTCTACAAATCTGGTACTATATCTTGCTTTGGGAAGATGTTTAGAAATCTGTTGAGAGAACAGTTAGATTAAGAAGAAACCTTGAGCAGAACAGCAGGTGTCCATACTAATAAAAGTAATTATGGTGTATTTTCCAAATGCCTTCAAATGTTTATAAGGGAAGGAAGTGGTAAATTATTTTTCCAATAATATGTTAGCTGTGGGTGAGATAAAAAGTTAACCCCACTAGCCCCCAATTAAGTTTCATTGGTAGAACAGTAGCATCTCAATTTCTTGCTGCAGCGTTTGCAGGTTGCAATTAGCTCTTTGTCTCTGATACCAAAGACCTTATAGACAAAGGTTAATCAAAATCTTCATGAGGAACTTCTTTAAAATCACCAAGTTCCACTTAAATTCTGAAGTCCTAAAAAGTTTTGAGTAATGGAAATTGGGACTTAGGCTAATGTTTCTGAAAACATTGTAGTTAAATTCCTGCTTTTATAATCTGAGTATTTTAAATGGTAAACTAGCTTTTATTTGCTAATTTAAAGATAGGTTTGCAGAAGGCAAGTGGGATAGATAAAAATTATCTAAATACTGATTTCCTTGCGTTCTTCAAGTAGGCTTCCTCAGCTCATACTGTTGCTTTAAAATACAAGCAGCCAGGGTCTTAAAGTTTCCAACTTGAGTTTTAGTACCTTTTATACATATCTGCTCTGAATGGGTTTGGACTAGATAACTTCTAGAGACCCCTTCCAATCTAAATTATTTTGCCTTAATACATGCAGAGTAATTTACTTTGCATCCTGAGCCAAGGAAAGGTTGCCCAAAGATCAGCATCACTGATTACTGAAAATGTGATGAGTGCTGTATGCAGTATGAGTCTTCTGACCACTGCAGCTTAAAAACAAGTAATTTTATGAACACTGAAATGAAGACTAGCTTTCTAGCAGTTTGACCCATAAGTGCAATTTCCAATGAAAGCTTTCCCT